TCTCAAGAATTTGTGAAAGTGCAGCGGATATTTGACGGCCCTTCAAACCACCGACAACGATTTTTTCCAGCTTAAGGAAATCACGGCCAGTATCGAAGATTCCCTTCAACACATTAAGTCGATCTACAAAGCGATCGAATCTATCGAAAATCGTCTTCGGGTGCCATGTCCAATCTTGTGAATTGAATTCTGTGCCAATTTTGAATTTCTTCAAGCTAGAGCGGCAGCTTTCATAAGTTTTTCTACATTAAGAGAGGTAAGAAAGGTAAGTAAGTTTGAAACGCTTTATCACATCCACAACCATCTCTTCGGCACACTACTCACTTGTAGTAGTCTAAGTGGTCAAGATTTGTCACAATGCGCTTATACGCCTCATCAACATCGCCAAAACAACTCTCCGGTTCGATGGTTAGTATGACATTCTCAATGATTGTGTTATGCAGCAGCTCGAAAAGTAGAACCATATTGTCCAAAGTGTGAAAGTATTTTGAATGACCCCACACCAGGCCAACGGTTAGTAGCAACGGCCGCAATTGAGCGCGGTTGTCCTCCATGCGATTCGATTCGAAAGTGTCCACCATTTTGGCCTGAAATCAAAAGTAAGCGTAAGCGCTTAAAGCGTTAAAAATAAAGCTGATCTTTTATTTCCCTACAAGTGGCGTCAAATATTTGGTAATGTCACGCGCTTCTGCCAATGCTTGCAGCACCAATTCGACGATCTTTCGATAGGTGGACTCGAAGACAGAATTGATTTTCNTCCAAGTTCTCCAAGCGAGTTTCCCAAAAGGCGAAGAGCATATCGGGTTTCGGATGTAATTCCTTGTCATACATACGGTCACGACATTTTACCAAAACTAGATCTTCAACGGAGTCTTGCCACTTGACCACCATGATTTCCAGCGAATGCTTGAGTAGGTTTGTGAACTTGCTTAGATCGCTGTGGAAAAATAAGCAAATATGCAAAAAAAGGAACAAAAAAATGTTTCTATTAAATGGGGAACCTATCGGTTTTTCATTAAGCTTGGAACAAATTAAAACCATTAAGAGGGCTCACTTAAAAAACTCGCGGTTTGTCCAACGGAATTATATAATTTATTATATCTATTTGTGTTTAATTGAGCTGGGCAGACTTGAAAAAAAACCTCCAAAATCGAGTTTTTTATAGAAAAGTTTCAACTTGAAAGTGGTCTGTTTGAACATTTTATCAATGGAATCAAAATATTAATATAATTGGAGCTCACGTAAAACTTAATATTTTGCCGAAATCACATGGCACGAGTCTTCAAATACATATAACTACATTTTGCCAGCAACGTGGCAACGCTCCTAAAAAATTCGCTATATGTATACCAAATTTTACTAAAAAAAAGAGGCAAACAAATATACACACTCAAAAACTTTTCATGTTGTTTTGTATTTAACTTGTCAATTAAATTGATTTTGAATTCGTAAGCTGGTGCAGATGTCCCCGAAAAAATTTCGAAATACATAGACACAGCATTATTAAAACCTTTCTCGTTTGATAGGCCTATTAAAATATTTTGTTTAGCTTGTTAATTAAATTAATTTCGGTTTTTTCAACATGGCAACCCGATCGTTTTTGAAGCACTCTAGTTTGACATCCAAATTATTTTGATATTTTATTTAACTTATTAATTAATCGATTTACATTTTTTTAATAGGTGGCAACCACTTTAAAATTTTATTCGAATCGTATCGTGTTGGAACTTCTTTTGGTTGACTCTCACATTGTTTTTTAAATGACTAATTAATTGATTTTGACTTTTAAAAAAGGTGGCAACGCTTTTAAAGTTATTCTATATGCTAGTCCAGATTATAGACTCTTTGTGTGCCTAATTTTCCTCCAATGAGTCACATTTATAATGGAGATATTAGGATTTTATAATCTCGCTGGAAAAACAGTACCGCTTTGTTTTTTCGTATGGAGAGTGATGCACTCTAATGTTTTTTTCACACATTCAAAGCCTCTCTGTTAATCTAATAATATTTTAACTCCATTATAAATCTCCAATCCAACTCTTACCCGGATGCAATTTGTGGCGCGCAATCCATCACTTCGT